CACCTGAGCTGCTCAGAGCTCGTTAATAGAAGGTTCTGTGCCATTTCTGGACAGAAATAACAGGGTAATCGATAGAGCAATGTCACACTGAGGTGGCACACGGGACAGAAGTCAGGGACTGTTTGTCCAGAGATTGTTGTGCCTCTAATGAACACAGCCAAGGAGCCAAGCCTGGTGTCTGAAAGGAGCCCTCGCTCAGCTTCTGGCCTCTGAATTAATGAGCAAAGGTGCCATGGCTTGTGGTTCCACAGGATGGGGACTCCTGCTGCAGCCCCAGCTCCTGCAGGGGCAGCCGGCTCTTGAGAACTGATTGCCACCCAGTAGTGAGAAATTACCTGTAATCACACTGCCCACTTCTAGCTCCTTCGCTAATTACAGTGCTCAACTCTCGCCCAGAAGATGATTGCACCGTCGCTGTGTGCTCGGGCTCTGAGGGACTTTGGAAAGTGTCACCGAGGCTGTCTTCTCCACAGGGCCTCTGCCAGGGCAGGTAACGCAGCTGCCCTGGGAAGGAGAGAAAGCAGAAAGCTTTTGAGAGGCTCAGAAGAGAAGAATATCCCAAAACAGCTGGTAACCCTACATGAGATGAAGGCAATTCTGAAGGCAAATTGCCCTCTTAGAGCTATTATGCTTTTTTTAAAATCTAAATAGAACCATCCCCCAAACTGTGCCTTAGGAAAGTAGGTGAAATACCCTTTTTTGCAGCTTCCTACCAAATGTTGCAGTAGGTTAAGTTCTTAAAATATAGTAGGAACATTAAATACCACTCAGGGTTTGTGGCACCTGGCCGGGCTGAAGGAGTGCCGTGGTTGGGAGTTATCTGTGGGCACAAGCAAACTCAGCAGCAAAACTGCCAAAAAACCTCCAGGTGTAGTTTTCCCAGCTCTCGGACCATGAGCAGTCCCACGTGCCATCCAGCACCCTGTGATGTCCTGTTTGCTGCCTTCCTTCAGCTATTCCCTTTCAGGGAAACCCATGGGATAGCGATATCCCAGAGGAAAGCTGTGGGAGCATCCCTCAGAGGGATTAGTCCATCCAGCCTGTCCGGCTGGAAAGCAGGTGAGGATTCCCCCATCCTCTTTAAACAAGAGCCCCAAATGAAATGATGCACTTCAGGTAGGAGGATTTTAAATAGCCTTTAGCCCTGGTGTGAGTGTCTGATGGTAGAGCAGCTCTTCTCTGTTTACTCTGCAGCCCCGGTTTATTCATTCTTTTCTGCTTCTCCATGTGTTTTTGGATATATCGTCTACAGTTACATTTCTCCCTCTCTCTTTCTTTCATGTTCCTTTGCCTCCTTTTGTTCACCATCAAAGTTTCACAAGGTAAGTTTGTTTCTGTTCTTCCTCCTCCTCCTCACACCCCGTGGCAGCTCCCCAGGGAGAGCAGCGAGTCCTCAGCTGGGACAAGCCATTTTGGAGTCGCTTTAGCCACTGCTGCTCGCTCCCAGCCTGAGTCCAGCCCTGTCCCTTTATGTGCCTGTGTCCGTCTGTCTTTGTGTCTGTCCTGTGGCCGCACAGCCCTGGGGACCTATTCTCCACCCAGCACTGAAACACCCCTCGGGCTGCCCCAAAGGCACCCTCGGAGCAGGGCAGGGACCCGTTCCAGCCTCGAGAGGAGCACCCCGAGGCCACCCTCCACACCAACCCAGTCCCAGGAGGACAAACTGTGCACAAACTGGTTTCTTTTTTCACAGAATCACAGAATCTTCTAGGTTGGAAGGGACCTTAAAGATCATCTTGTCCAAGTGTCAGCCTGACTGACAAAAATAGACACCTGCACAACAAACAAGAAGCATCACCATGACTAAACCATACCTCCCAGCACTACATCAACCTGTCTTTTGAACACCTCCAGGGATGGTGCCTCAACCACCTCCCTGGGCAGCCCATTCCAATGGCTGATAACCCTTTCAGTGAAAAAATTTTTGCCTGCATCTGACTTGTAACGGTTTGCAGAAGCAGCCTGATTTCAAGCAAACTTAATTAAATCAAGTGATTTTGCACACAGACACTCAGACCAACCGAACCGAGATCCCAGAGATCTTACTTTACAGAGCTGCACCTTAACTGTACTGCAGGCATACTAACGTACAGCTGCTTCAGACAGAATAGCTATTCCTATGCAAGAAACACAACTATTTTCATACAGAAACTACTTAATAAGTTAAGTCTGAGGTATTTTAATGAATACGTTTAGCATAGGACAGGTCATCCTTTGGCTTCCTTTGGTCTTGTAAAGAGAGATACAGGCTCGGCCACTGTATCTGGCTTCCAGCCAACTTCAAAACCGATAACAGGGCTGAAAAGATTTCTATCATATCTTAATCAAAAGGCATGGCTTCGCAAGCAACAAGCTTGTGTACATAAACTGCTGTAAGCATAGCCTGGCTTGCTTAATTTAGCTAAGGATTTAGAGCATGCCCCAACTCTCAGTCCATGAGGTGGGTTGGTTGGTTGTTTTTTAACACTGTGCTCCCTAAACAACTTAAACTGATGCTGTAGATGAGCCCATATTACAGGTTTCCAACCAGCTCGTTTTACCTTCAGAGCTGACTCACACTTAGAACATAAATGCATAAGAAATCGTCGTTTATCCCCCCCCTAGAAGAAGCTGTTTGAAAGAGATGTTCTTTCTGTTCAGCCGCATGCCATGGGCAGTGATGCAGCGTGGGGTAATACGTGATGAGTGTCATTAATCTCCTCCTCCCTTCCTGCTGCTTGTTTAGCAGCAGGAGATCCAGACTGCCAAGGCTGGGGGCATGCTTGGATTTTCCAGCAGTTTATTTGCCAGGGACAACTCTTAATTGAGCAAGAAGTCCCTTTAAGATAGAGGTTGTGGCACTTACTGGTATTTTGTGCTCAGCTTTTTTAAGGGACTTGCAGAAGCCTGACATAAGTGTTGGAAACTAATATTAAAAAGCATCAACAGGGAGGTGTTCGACTGAAGGGCAAGATTTCAGACTCATTTGAAATTCAAAATATAAAAATGACTGTTTACTTATGTTATTTAAAGAAAGAGAAAAAAAACCTACAGATTTTTAAAGGGGTTTTTGTTGAAAGATCTTCACTATTGCAAACGGTGCAGGTAAGGACAGTTTGGTTGCTTCTCTAGAAAGGGCCACAAGGATGCTCCAAGGGCTGGAGACCCTCTGCTGTGAGGACAGGCTGAGAGAGTTGGGGGTGTTCAGTCTGGAGAGGAGAAGGCTCCAGGGAGACCTTTGAGCCCCTTCCAGTACCTAAAGGGGCTACAGGAGAGATGGGGAGGGACTCTTGATAATGGAGTGGAGTGAAAAGACGAAGGTAATGATTTTTAAACTGAAAGAGGGGAGATTTAGATGAGATCTCAGGAAGAAATTCTTTCCTGTGAGGGTGGTGAGACACTGGAACAGGTTGCCCAGAGAAGCTGTGGCTGCCCCATCCCTGGAGGGGTTCAAGATCAGGCTGGATGGGGCTTTGAGCAACCTGGTCTGGTGGGAGGTGTCCCTGCCCAGGGCAGGGGGCTTGGAACTGGGTAATCTTTAGTGTCCCTTCTAACCCAAACCATTTTATGATTGTATGATCTGTTGCATTCATACTATTGTCATAACAATCCCATCTTCTTTTAAAAAGAAAGCAAGTAAAACTTCTGGTCCAGTCACTGGAACCACCTAGGAAAGTGTTAAAAAAAAAAAAACCAACAGTATTTTTCCTGTTACCCTGTCAGCAGAAGAGCTGCGGGTGCTCTCCTATTGCCCTTCTCTGCCCTATAGCCTGCCTGGGGGAAGGAAACCTCCCCTATGGGATTTGCAGCCTCCCCTCAACCACAATGTACAGGATGGCAAATACTCTGCTGCCTTGGTTGGGAGGGTCCATTAGACCCCATGGCCAGGGGAAGAGGAATTTGGGGGAAGAGGATTCTGGGCAGTTTCCCAGTGCAATTGGTTTTGCTGCTGGAAAACTCCGTTTTCTCCAGTCCTGCTGGATGGCTGCTGTGCCCCAAACAAAAGCACCTGTAGTTCTGCTGGGCTGGAGCAAAACGAGTGAGAATATCATTAAGGGAAAAGGCCCACAGAGGCATCCCAGGGTCTGTGGTTTGAACTCTGACAAGTCAGCCTCCCCCTTCTCCTCCGAGAGATGTTGGTTCACCTCTGCAAACCGCAGTGCAGATCGGTTGGTGCTGGAGAGCTCTGTCAGCCAAAACCAGGATGGGAACTAAAAGGTGGAGAGAGGAAACCTTCTTCCTCTTACCTGCCAGCCCTCTGGGAGGACGAGGTTCAGACACAGATGGCAAGTAGAGATGCAAAGTGTGTCAGATGCAGGACCACCAAGCTGCCAGGCCAGCGCTTGGGAAAGAGCGGTGTCACCAGAACGATACAAAAGGGCACACATTTTCCCTACATTGCAGAAAAACACAGTCCATTAAGGTTTTAGGTTATTGGGCTGTATTGGAATTGGTGGCCGCAGGTACCTCCTGTGCCTTTAAAACCCCTGGGAGCAGAGGTGCCCCTGCCCATGCTGGGGCTGGTGGGCAGGCAGGCACCACAGCAGCAATGCTGGCCACCAGAGCCACCTCAGCGTGCCCAGGAAGGTGGTTGCACCCCATGGTTGCCCTGGGAAGATGTTGGCTAGTGCAAGGCAGGGCAGCTTGCCGGGCTGAGCCTGCCCTGGGGCAGCCCCTCCGAAATTCCCCACATGGTTTGCCACTCCTGGTGAACCAAGCTCATGGATCACTAGATCCTTGCTGAAGGTCCTCATTAGGAATTAACACTAATCATGTTCCCTTCCCCTCCCTCCCTCACAGGCTACAAGGAACAGGGGATCCCACAGCAGCTGTAGTGGCTGGGACAAGTATGGTCAGAGAACCCCGGCGAGAGATTTCCTTTGGCAGCTGTGTGGGCCACGGACCTTCTCATTACCCTTTATCTCTCTTCTTCTTCCTTTTGTTTTTTTTTTTTATTTTGTTGGTGTTTTCCCCCCCACCACCACCACTTCTGTTTGAACCCGGTTCACCTGCCCGTCCAGCGGAGCGGAGGTGCAGAGCAGCCGACGGAGACTTGCACTGAGCCCCTTGAGCAGTGGAGATGGGGCAAGCACGGCCTGGGTTAGGACTGGCCCCAGCCAGCAGGCGGTGGGCAGCCCATGAGGAGGAGGAGGAGGAAGGTGCCAGGAGAAGGAGACACCCCTGGCGAAGGAGCCGTGTCAGGGGAGCAGGAGGTGCTGCTTTCTCTCTCCTCCCAGGGAGAAGGAGCTGAAGATGTTTTGCCTCTTTTTTTTTTTTTTGATGCTCACCCTTGAAGGAAACCGGCTGTGAACATCCAATGCCAAGGAGCTATCAATAGATACACGTACAGTATGTAAAAGCAAACCAGTGGTACTTTTTGCCCCACCCCAAGAGTCCATCCTTGACTGCTTTGTGGTAGCAGAGAGCTCAGCCCAGCCTCCTCTGCTGTGTGTATATATATATATATATGATGCTCAATGAAGCTCTGTCCTTGCAGATGTCTTGAGAAACGTGCTTGCTGTAAATCGTATTACACTGCTGAACCGACTGGGGCCATCCCCTGCTTCCATCCGCTGGCACCATGCAAAGACCAGACCTCCCACCAGCCCCTGGAGAGACTTTATCTAGCAAGGGACCGGTGCTCCACAGCCCCTTGCCTCTAGGGTGGTGGGCACAGCCCACGTGCCATCAGAAGCTTCTAGCATAAAACAATACCAGGAGAGCCAAAGACACTTTTCCCCCACCCCTCCCCTGAAAGGACCTTGCTGGCAGCATCTCTGTGGGGTTTTTTTTTGGAAATGGATTCCCCTTACAGCACGACGTGAAGCAGCATCCCCTGCTCCGCTTCCCCAGGGTAAGTGGCCAAAGCTTGAGGATCCCGACCTGGTGCTTGGTCCTGGTGTGTGGTGGGAAGGCCTGTGGCCAAATGGGGTTGGGCTGTGTGTTCTTCGTGGTTTTGAAGACATGATGCACAGAACTAAATTGGGCATCCAGGCAGAGTGATGAGGAGCTCAGCCGGGGAGGGCGGGATGGGACCTGGTGGCAGCAACTCCTGGTTGTAAAGAGAACTGACAAGTCAAACAGCAGCATGTGCCCCCAAGCACGCATGTCTCCTTGCCTGACCATCTGCAGGCTGAAAGTGCAGAGATGCCTGCCCAGCTCCCAAAACACCTGTCTGTGAGCTGCATTTAACCCTCAGAGGCATGGTAGGGGCACACTGAGCAGGAAAGCTTAGTGACACCCACCACCCAGGGTCACCAGTTTTTTTTTTTTTAAAAAAAAAGGGCTTTAAGGAAATAGTTCCTTGGTACTTGAAGCCAGCTGGGCTGAACAGCTGGTTTACCACTTGGTGGAGAGCAACTCCAGGTAGGAACCAAACCAAATGTCTTTTTTGAAGTTTGTGGTTGGTCGTAAACCAGTTTCATCCTGGGTCACCCCAACCATTTCAACGCAGAGCACGTTAACGTATTTTTCTAAGTTCTTCGATGTTGCCAAATCCAGGCTTAATGGTGGAAAAGGTGCTATGGCAGACACCCCCCCACACCCTCCCAGCCCTTTGCTGGTGCTCGCTGCAGGGGGTCAGCATGGCTCTGTGCTGGGAATGGCTCCAGCACCCAGCCATGCCGTACGGAGCATTAGACACGGGAGGTACCTCCATCTGTGCCCCATCCTGCACTTCCTGAGACAGAGCCACATGTCCCTCCCTCCGTGCATCGACTGCCACATGTTTTATTAGAGATCTTTCAGCTGGAAATCACCCCTTGTTGTGGTCTGGCCATGAGGCAGGTTGTTGTGCCGAGCTCCATGGAGAAGAAACAGAGGAGTCATGGTCTGACGGTTCTCCAAGGCGCTGTTTTATTCCACCCTTGCCTCGCCTCCTACTTGTTTTGGGATGACCCTGCAGCTCACACACATGCACACACTCCGGGCAGGGTGTATTTTACCACTATTCAACCCAAACTGCATCCTCTACAAGAGTTCATTGGCATTTAAAGCCTAAACACGCAAGAAGAGCTTACAAGCTTGCCTAGATCCCATATTCCTCCTAATGGCAAAAGCAATGGCTTTTCCCACAGCCTTGCTAACCCTGGTGTGATAACACACCCCTGGGTTTCCCAGCTTACTTCTCTCCATGCTCACACACATGATGCACCTTCAGGCAGCGCTGCAATTTATTTTCCAGATATTTCATTTTCCAGACTGGCACTCAGCATTTCCATCCCCCCTCCCCACCCCGGGACCAGCATGCTGTAATACCCCAGGTGACAGTGCCACCAGCTGAACCAGGGTTACAGCGAGTCACACAGGAGCCTGTACCACCCACGAGCCATCCTTCCTCCTCTTGTCATCCGTATGGATAACTAGAACCTGGCTAAAACCATCTTCCACCTCTAAGGATGCCTCCAGCAGGCAGGTCGAAGGCTTGGGATTATAAAGGGGCTTTCCCCCACCAGTGCTGCCTGGAGCTGATCATGGAACTACCCCAAATACCCAGCAAATGATCCCACCCTGACCCACACCCCCCTTTTCCACCCACAGGTGCTGCTCCGCAGGCTGGGAGGGGGATAAGTTGTCTGTCACCAGCTCAAATCCGTGTTTTCCTTGGTTTTGGCCACACTGGGATGTATTTGGTTTGTCCACCCCAGGAAGGAGGGGACGGGTGCGTGCCCACCTGTGCCACAGGCACCCTGATGGTGAGCTCACATGTCATTTTCATGCCAGAGCCCAAACTGAGGGGTTACAGAGGACCATTTGTTTGCCTATTTATATCGCTGAGTATTGGATTGTGACTTGCTGTGTTTTGATACTGTGGACTTTTTTTTTTAAAGTTAAATATATTCTATTGCTGACAGCTGGAATGAAATGCAGAGTCTCTTTACATAGCCAGGAGAAGCCCCACCTGCCCTGCATCAAAATGGATCTTCCTCAGGCTGGGTGGTAGAGAGCATCCAGTGGACACCAGCCCACACTCCCAGCACCTGAGGAAAGGAAGCAGGGCCAGGGCACTGCTTTTTTTTTCTTTTCTTTTTTTTCAGCATCCAGTGGACACCAGCCCACACTCCCAACACCTGAGGAAAGGAGGCAGGGCCAGGGCACTGCCTTTTTTTTCTTTTTTTTTTTTTTTCAAGGAATTAACAACCCAGAGCCTTCTGGGTGGTGAGGAGCTTTACCTGCACCTCTGGAATGGAGACAATGAGGCAGGGGGAAAAGCCACCCTGCTGTTCCCATCTGCACACACCTACCAGCAAGCCTTCTCACCTGGGCTTTCTTTGTCATTCTAACACTCTAAAACAACTCCAGGCACATTATTCCTGCTCCCCATGTGACAGCAGCCCCTGTGCTGCTGGGGGCTCTGCTCCCTGGGGGGGTTTTCCCCAAGAGGGAAGGGCTGACAGCCCATCCAAACACGTCCACATGTTGTGCCCATCCACACTTCATACTCCATGCTCCTCCTGCATCACGTGGAACCCCAAAATGCCACTTTTCCCACCACAAAGCCACCCCACAGGTGGGGAAACACATGGGACATCCCAGCTGGACTTGTCAGGGCTTCCCCTGGTCATTTGTGAGACACGCAGAAGTTAAAGCATCTAAGCAATTGCTCATTCACTAGAATGTCCTCAATCTAGGAGTTTTGACCCCAAACACAGGTAGTTTCCAGCACCTGGTAGGCGAGGCACAAAGCTCTGTGTGTCACTTGCTACATCTTTCTATTTAGGCTTCACCCCTCAGCACGTGAAGCGCATTGGGATGAAAACATATATAATATTATGATACTATTAATACACCCCTGCAGACACACTGTCACATGGCAAATCCACTAGAGAGATCTGGGATAATTATCTTGAAGACATTTCTTCCAAGCCCTGCTAATGCAACTGCTTCAGAAGGGGAGGGGAAAAAAATAAAAAAAATTAAAATCACACAAATGGAGAGTCAAAAATCGGTGCTTGGTGAAGACAGATGAGCCATGGGGAAAGCCTCCATGCCTCATTCTCACCTGAGCACCATCACAAGAACAGGTCTTTCCCTCACCCTGGAGGAACAAGCACCTCCAGCAGTTTTTCACCCCCATGGGCTCAACACCCACGTTTCAGGGAATGCTCTGGCATCAGCAGGCAGAAACCCAGGCTCCACACCTCATTCTCACCTGAGCACCATCATGAGAACAGGTCTTTCCCTCACCCTGGAGGAACAAGCACCTCCAGCAGTTTTTCACCCCCATGGGCTCAACACCCACGTTCCAGAGAGTGCTCTGGCATCAGCAGGCAGAAACCCAGAAGGTTTTCAGGGGGTTAAAAGAGGCAGAGAGGCAAGAGGTGATGAGCACAGCCCACAGCTTCTGCTGGGTCCTCAAACGAGCAGCAGCACCAGCTCTGCTGGGACAGCCACAACCCCCCCGTTCTGGGAGCAGCCTTGAAGCCAGAGACCACCACCACCCAGAAACCCAGGGAATGGGGTGACCAGTGGATTCCTGGGGTCCTTACTCCACAATATGCTGGCCCTTTCCTGGAGACAGCAACCAGCAAACCTTGAACCCCTGAAGAGCTGGAAATGCCCAATACGGCCCTTTTCCAGCATCCTATGAGTGGGCAGAAGCACAATTGGAGCCACTCCTGCCACCCAGCACAGAGCCAAAGCCCATGGGCCACCCTGACCCGAGCCCCACGCCACATTTCACCCTGTATTTCAGGTGCAAACCACCTCACTCCCTAAGACAAGAGCCTACCCAGATGCCCTCAGCACAATCACAGCCCCCACTACATCTCCTCTGCACCCATACAGCAGAGCAGAACCACAGGGTACCAAGAAAACCTCCTTTCCAGCAACCACCACACAGCAGGAAAAATTACCCTCCCTTTGCACTTGCAGCCCCCTGCAAAAATAGACTTTTTCCACCTCCACCCCTGACAGAAACACAAGCCCCTTCCCCAAACTGAACTCACCTCTTCAAAGACAACACAGCACCACTAAGGTCACTTGTAGGAAGCCACCCAAGGCTGCAGACCATAACACCAAAGACATCCTCAAGCTAATGAGGAGTGGCTGGGATTTTATGTGTGACCCAGAGCAATCAGTGGAACCAGGTGTGCTTCACATAAGGCCAGCTGGGGGGATTTCAAGGCTGCTGTTACACCTGTGGGGCAAGAGCATCTTGGGCAGGAAGGTTGAGATCAGACACAGCTTGCCTTGATGGAAGCTCTCACTGGTGGCAATACAAAGATGTGGAAATACACTGCCTAGACATCACATCATTCAGAGATATGTATTTAGAAAAAACATAATTTCACTTATATTCTGTTCAAACCGGCCTGAGCAACCATTAAAAAA